TATAACAACGATAACCAAAACAAAAAGTTGGTTAACAAAATTAGTTTACTACTAAAAAAGGATTTACATTAAACTCTCTGTCACAAGAATGTGAGAGTACGTCCTCCCTCTTAATTCCAACTAGGTGTTTTTTTTACAAATGCATTAAAAAAAACTAGGTTTACTTTTTGTCCACTCGCCATTTTTATTTCATATTATTTATTTTCCTCGTCATTGTTATTTTTATCATCCAATTCGTTTGAATATGATATCTAACACTTAGATTGTTATTTTCATAAGCACATCCAATGTGGGAATGGTAACATTCACCGTGAGTTTTAAAACTCGGAGTTAGCAATCATCCTTACAAAATAACTTCCATAAATTCATCTAATGACTACTATTATGAATGACAATGGGTCAACTAATTAAGTAATTTGACGCAATTGTCATATGACTCGTGTGGGTATTGGGTTGAGCCAAGTAGACTAATGTACGCTCTTAATGATTTTGAGTATATGTGGATCAGATTTGGGTAAATTTATTTGGATAAAACTCAAATGGATATATTTGAGTCAAGATGATTGTACATATAAAAATACAAATACAATATCGACCATCTCATTGATTGCTTTCCATCCGATTATCACCTTCAGTGTTGATATTTCCACATTTTGTTTGTTTTAGAACAAAGAAAAGGGGAAAAATGCATTAGAAACAAATAAAAAAATTATCCGATATCGTGAGTCTAATTTAGACCTAAATGAAAATTTGTTTGACTTTGTAAAATAGTATCGCATGGACTTATTGGCGCTGCACTTTTTTTTCTTAGCGGGAACGGGTTATGATAGAATACGTCTAGCCTACCTTGACGAAATTTGGGGGGAGGGTGGGGGAGGGGGGGCGGCTGGAACGAATTCACCGTTGTATGGCTGACTAGCGATTACTAGAGATTTCGGCTTCATGCAGGCAAGTTGCAGGCTACAATCCGAACTAAGAATGGGTTTTTGGAGTTAGCTCACCCTCGCGGGATCGTGACTCTTTGTTCCGACCATTGTAGCACGTGTCGCCCATCGCATTTCTCCATTGTGCACAAATTCAATAAGTTATATGAGCAAAAAGAATAAAGTATTTTGCGTCTTTTGTTGATAAGGCAACATCCAGATTTGAGCCAGGGAAAAAAGGATTTGCAGTCCACCGCCTTACTGCTCGGTCATGTCGCCAAATTAATACAAAAGAAAGGAAAGTATACCATTTGGGGTGGTACTCAAATTTGCATCCCAAAAGTAATATTGTCCACATCTGATTTGACCAATAATAGGTTGAGTTTGGGCATATACCCAAAATTTTGGTATGTTTTGTCATCCCTAATTATTATGACAACAATTTATACTAAAAATAGATAAATTAATTGTAATTCTAGACCATATCATCACATAAGAATAATACAAGCCATAAAAATATTCAAATACGATAATTAAACGTTATTTTTAACCTAATGGGGTAGTATGACCCTTTTATAATGTTATATTTTGGTCGGTAAATTAGTTACCACCTTCGTTTAGGTAATGAGTTAAAGTAGAAGGAAAGACCAAAATAAAAGAAAAGGTAGAAGGAAAGATGCAAATGTCTGTTGACAAATTTTTAAAATAACTTCCTCCAAGTTTTGGTTAACAGAGACATTTACTGCTACTTTTTTTAATGTCTATTTTTTATTCAAACCTTTTTTAAATTCTTTTATATTATCCAAACCTATCGAAATATTAAGAATTAGCCAAATGTTAACTTTCAGTTAGTAATTTTGTTAGTAATATCGACTTGGCAATATGATACTGACTTGGAAGAGACTCATGAAGGTCAACATTCCAAAATTTTAATATTTTAGCTAAGAAAATAGTTACAAAATTATTAACGATAACGTAAAAATGACTAATATTTTGATGCATTATGAAAGATTTGGATAATTAATAGAATTTTAATAGGTTTGGATAATATAAAAGAATCTGAAAAAAATTTAGATAAAAAATAGACATTATTTTTTTTTAACGTGAAAACAAGAAATTAAGATAGGGAACTGACGACTTTGTTTGACTAACCCGTCGGCGTGGCTGCCAATTATTTTCTCACCACCAAAAGTCCCGACGAAGTCTATCACCGGTCAACCCTAATGGCCCGCCGCCCGAACATAAGAAAACCCCGTCGACGGGCAAGAAGAACGATTCAACGGCTGAGTGCGGCTAAATTTTTTTTTTTTTTTTTTAATCAAGTCGTGCACTAGCCCAAGTCTTTTCTTTTTTTTACTATTGATTTTGTATTTTCTCGATACCAGGAATTACAATTTCCTTTTTCGGCATATTGCATCCCTACTACCACCAACTACATGTTTGTTTGTATCCATCAAAATGAAATTTATGTTTGTACTACCTTTTTCTTATCGACCATCTATGTTGGAGATATCGATTAGAATATAGGAAAAATGAGGTTTGTCACTTAAGAAAAAATGGGGAGGGGGAAAAAGAAAGGTCTCTCATTTTCTTAGGTAACATTTCTTCAATCTCACTAACAATCACTCTTTGTTGGCCATGACTGTTTATTTCATTTCTCTATGATTCTCAATGCGTCAAATTTACTCACCTTGAAAGGTAAAACGGGGAGAGATCATATTGAGATGGTTGTATTTGGTAATCAAAGGAGCTAGTAAGCTAAATGAGTGCATTTGGTACTCCTCCTACCACATGCCTCGTTGAAAAATTAATACTCAAGCTAGTAATGTCCTAAAAACAAATGAGGGTGTCTCCAATATGGAATACCTGATTCTCTAGTAGCCTCATAAAAAAATAAGTGTATGTTTACGAGTAGGATATGGGTCACGGCTCATTCTCGACTGTTTTCATTTAAAAGGAACTTTATAAGCTGCTTGTGCACCTATATAGTGGTGAGAATCTATTAAAGCACCTCCATAACTACCATGAGAATGTCGAAGGACTCGTATGGAATTGCTGGGACAATAGAATATGAAGAACAGCCAACAACATGAAACGAAGGCACTAAATTCAATTGCTCATCGCTAACTGATATTGAACCCGAGCTTGGTGAAGAAGAAGAAGAGAACATTACACTAATCTACTGAGCCAATTAATCTGTTGATCCTTCCTAAAAACAAAATTTGTTCATAACTACTGCAATATATTTTTCCCCATTGTGATGAACCATAAGCAGTGAGGTCAGGAATGAGCTACCAACCATAAACCAAACCTGTAACTATACTGTGGTTCACTTACTAACCTAAGAGAAACGTCAAAACTGTTTAGTGCTGTAATTAAGAACACAGTCACAACCCATCCTCTTAAGTCTTGTGTCTTATCAATAAATTAGCAATGAGGTGAATTTGTTGATGCAGGTTGTGCCTCCACTTTTCGGTGGAGCATAATATCAAAGTCCAATCTAAACATGTCGAAATTATGGAGTACTCTAGGTTGGGTCTTTTCAAGGAAATTAAACTTCCAATCTTCACCAAGAAATAAAATCTAATTGAGACTTTACCCTTAACCCAATTGTTGAAGTTAAGCAACCAAAATGTGTAGTCCATCAACCAAATAAACTTGTGGTTTTAATTAGACAACTATAGTAGATCTTTTATAATGATTTCATATTGCCTTTAAAAACCAACGAATTTTTTATCAAACAATATCGTGATACCAGTTATAGTCTGTGATGAACTGCTTGAATCATAGAAGCCTACATGTAAAAGGTTCACCTTCCCATTTTATTGAGATACTAGATAAATGTTCCACACGCTACGGCGGGTTGCGTTTACTATGATAGATTTTCGACTCCTCTTTTAAGTTCTAAACTTATCGTAATTTTTTATGTATTGTCTATTTTTAGGATATAGTAGTTGTACTTTTTCTATCTCTTGGTAAAAGCACGATAACTAAAAAAAGCATTGTCGATGCCATTGTTGCTTTTGATTTTAAATTAATGTTGTCAGAATCGAACTAAAGTTTGAAATGATATATCACGGTATTCACATTTTATTGGTTTAACCAGTATCAAACCATTAAAAACGGGTGTTGCATAAACAAAACTATTAAAATCACTATTAATAACACTTTAAATCCCAAACATATTTGTTGAAGATGATAACAAAATTACACATTCCTTCCCAAACCTTTAGGAGAGGAGAGATTGAGGGGCTTTAATTCGTTTGATTTAGGGTCGGTTAGCTTCCTAACACTCTAAGAGGTTGGAAAAATGACAGTCTTTATTAATTATAGTTATTTTTTGTATTATATTCGTGTTGTATTTAATAATCTTAAGAAATTTAAAACTCATACTAGTTACATTGCTTTTTTGTACTACCACCATTGCACTGATACAACTATCGTTGCACTGAAAAAGGAAAGTAATTAATATGAATTTTTAATTTAGACAGATTATTAAATGCAACACGGATTTAATGCTTTAAAAGCCTATAATTAATAGAGGATATCATTTTTCCAATGTAGTCATGCTATATCACCCAATTTTTCATATTTTTTTTCCGTCCAGACCCATTGTTCCCAATTGGAAAATTATTTCATATTATTAAATATTCTTTAATTGTGGGTTGGAATGCTGAACCGATCAGATACATCAATCGAACCAAATAATTGCCAATTTTGCAGGTCAGAGAGATCCATCCGATGGACCGATCTTCAAAATACTGGTTTGACCTTCGTACTTTAGCTTGGTTTTTGGGTTTGGTATGAACTTTCACAGATCATGAAGTCCTTATCTTTGTGTTTTGCCTTTGCATACTCCTTTGATATTCTTTCTTTAACGCACTTTACTATTACAAAAAAGATGTTTCTAACCCAAACTATGAAAGGATGGCTCAAATGATAATAATGGAATTGATACACTTAATCTCTGGATTCCATTCATACATCGTACTAATTTGATGAAAATTTGTGAGTAACTGACAACCAATAAACTCGTAACAAATATATATACAAAAATCAATTATATACCGATAATTTCTAATCGTTGAGTTGACTGAACTTAGAAATTACATGTTATCCCAATCCTTTAAAATTACTAACCATCCTCAAATTGCAGAGATAATAATACAATGTCTAATCATGAATGTGGAATTAATTACATTCAATTATGTACAATTCGACCATTAATAATTCAAAAAGAAATTTACTATGGAGTCAAGCACTGCATCAAACCAGCCATATCCACTGACGTTAGGATTAGGTCAGTTACAACCTCATCCTTCCCCCTTCCTTCATTCCTCCTTCCTCTATAAGTAGAATTTCCCCAACTCCTCAATCTCCCACATTCATTCCTTCATCACAACCCAAAAGGAGAAGCAAAGAAAAGAAGCAACAATGGCTCTTCCTCCTCCTTCTTCCATCCTTCCCCTGCTTCTCCTCTGCCTCTTCATAACCCCATCCCTCGCATTTCCCAAACGGAAACCAGCCCAACAACAGCACAGCTTCCTCCAATGCCTCTCCGATCACAGCGACACCACCGCCATCCCATTCTCCCGATCCTTCTTCACCCCTGACAACTCCACCTTCTCCACCGTCCTCTCCTCCTCCGCTCAAAACCTCCGTTACCTCCTCCCTTCCGTCCTGAAACCCGTATTCATCTTCACCCCACTCCAAGTCTCCCACATCCAGGCCGCCGTCATCTGCTCCAAGCAGCTCGGCATCCACCTCCGAATCCGCAGCGGCGGCCACGACTATGAGGGCCTCTCGTACGCCTCCGAGACAGAGTCCCCTTTCCTCATCCTCGACCTCTCCAAGCTCCGCGCTGTTTACGACGTCGACATCGCCGCCAACACCGCCTGGGTCCAGGCCGGGGCCACCGTCGGCGAGGCCTACTACCGGATTTACGAGAAATCCCCCACCCACGGCTTCCCCGCCGGCCTCTGCAGCAGCCTCGGCGTCGGCGGCCACATCACCGGAGGAGCCTACGGCTCCATGATGCGGAAGTACGGACTGGGAGCCGACAATGTCGTCGACGCCCTCATCGTCGATGCCTCCGGGAAGCTCCTCGACCGCCAGGCAATGGGGGAGGACGTCTTCTGGGCGATCAGAGGCGGCGCCGGAGGGAGCTTCGGCGTGATCGTTGCCTGGAAATTGAAATTGGTCCCTGTCCCTGCAACCGTCACCGTTTTCACCGTTCCCAAGACACTCCAAACTGGAGCGACGAAAATTCTGTACAAGTGGCAGCAGGTCGCCGACAAGCTCGACGACGATCTGTTCATCCGCGTCATAATCAACACGGGCCGGATCGGCAACACGACCGAGCGAACCGTCACCACTCTGTACCAGGCTCTGTTTTTGGGCGATTCCGAGAGACTCCTCAAAATCATGGGCGCCAGTTTCCCGGAATTGGGTCTCACCAAAGCGGATTGTTTGGAAACGAGCTGGATCAAATCCGTGCTTTACATTGCCGGATTCCCAACCGGCACCGCGCCGGAGGTCCTGCTTCAGGGGAAGTCTCTGTTCAAGAATTACTTCAAAGCGAAATCCGATTTCGTGAGGGAACCGATTCCAGAGACGGGTCTGGAAGGAATTTGGAAGAGATTTCTCGAAGAGGACAGCCCATTGACGATCTGGAACCCATTGGGCGGGCAAATGGCGAGGATTTCAGAATCCGCCATCCCGTTCCCTCACCGGAAGGGGAACTCGTTCATGATCCAGTGGCTGACGAATTGGCAGGACGGAGAGAGCAGCGCGGCGAAGCACATGGACTGGATGAGGAAGCTGCACAACTACATGACTCCCTACGTGTCGATGATGCCCAGAGCTTCGTACGTGAACTACAGGGACTTGGATTTGGGGATGAACAAGGACGGGAACACCAGCTTCATTGAAGCCAGTTCGTGGGGGATGAAGTACTTCAAGGGAAACTTCAACAAATTGGTGCAGATCAAGACCAAGTTCGATCCCGAGAACTTCTTCAGGCATGAACAGAGCATCCCGCCGCTGCCGGTGTCGATGAGGAAGAGGAAGAGAAGAGGCGGAGTTGGGTTTCACTGATTGAGTGATTACGGACTCTGTCTCTTTGGGTTGATTGTTAATTACAAAAAGAAAAAGCAGCTTTGGTACTAAGCATGGTTTGTGTGTAAGTGTTTTGGTTTGGATTAGTGTCCACTGTCCACAGATAGTTTACTATTCTTGTGTTTGTTTTTTTTTTTTTTTTTTGTTGTTGTGGGGGGTTTTTGGCATGATTAATAAGGGGAGGGGTTACTGATAATGTAACTGGGTTTGGGGGTTAATCTATTATATGGTGGGGATATTGACAAGATTTGAGATGCTTAAACAATATTTACATGCTTTGTATTTTGGGTTGTCAATGTGACAAGAAAGCTGATGTAATGATTCTTCCTCTTGTCAATATGAAAATTTTTTTAATGATAAATTTCATTACAACCTCATCACATTAGTACGGAACGGATAAAAAATCTCCACCGAATCGTATAAACATTAATAACAAATATCAAAATTGGTGGATGAGTACTCATGGATTTACGAACATAACCACTAATAATTCCTTCGAATATACTCACTTCTTATATCATTAATTTTTCCCTGTAAATATATTGTTGTAAAGACGAATAAAATTAAATATGATCCATATTATTAAAACTCTATTTTCATTCGAACTAATATTACTAGAACTATTCATATCATTAGGGTTAGATGTAAAATTATGTTTTCTTCCTTTCTTTAATAGTGCGAGTTCGGTATTACCAACTGTGAAATCTTGACGAAGGGCAATCGTGAGAGTAGTGGCGGAGCTATGTTGATAGCATGGAAGGCTATAGCTACCCCCCCTCCCTCCAACTCTATAAATCATGTAAAATTACATGTAAATTTTGTAGTTGATAAGGCGTTAGCACTCCCTCGCCAGTTTAAATTCTCAGTGCGTAAATTTTAAGCCCCTCTCATTCAATTTTTGGCTCCTCATGAGACATCCAACATCCAACAATAAATTTTTTAAGCCCCTCTCATTCAATTACACACCCAATTAAGTAAGATTCAAGCGGATATTCATGAATATAGTTATTTTTGTCTATCTCTAAAATTGTCAGCCTAGTTGAAAATCTTCAATGACCCTTGTAGTTGCAGAGTTCACATGAATTATGGTGCGGATTCTGAGGACAAAGACCCATGATTTCTTGAACCTATAATTTAAATTTCTACAAGGTCAACGTATATACTATATACCAATAAATTTTCTACCAAAAACCATATACTGAGGGGTCGTTTGGAAGTTGCAATAGTTTTGTTGAGATTGTCATTTTGCATGTATTGTTTACAATGCATCGTTTTTTTTTTGTTTTTTAGCAGAAACAATACATTGATTGTTTCTGTGATGTGACATAAACTATCACTCATTTTGAGTGATTGTTATATCTCAACTTTTAGTTGTGATTGTTGAGATAGTTGAGTTGAGATTGTTTTGTCTCAGTTTTTAGCTGATGCGACATACACAATCACACATACCAAACGTTGTATTCGACAATGTATCAAATTCGATAATACATGTATAATATTATACATACATTCTCAACAATACATCTATTTAACAATCGCAACTTCTAAACTACCTCTTATACATTCATATGAGCGGATTCCTAGGACAAGGACCCATGATCTCTTGTACGAGCTATAGTCCAAACCACCCTTCGTAAGGATAATTATGAGCAAGAACAGTAGTTGGAGATTTTATTTAGAAAGCTGCAAAAATTAATGCACCATGTTATTAATAATAATAATAATGCAGTTGTTATTTATTTCATGGCGTACCTACCTCTTCGCATAAAGTCAGGAAAAATATTTTTAGTTTTGGTTTGGAATTTGGATGTCTTCAAAGCTTCGTAAGGACTAAAGAACAAGGGCAGTTGTTACTCCTACTCTTTATGATGAGACTGCTCTCTCACGCCCTGTTATCAGCAACAGTGATGTGTTTTGTGTTTTTTTTCTTGTTCATTTGGATGGATATAATCGTTAAATTACGTTAAATTGTTATTGAATCTTACCATTAAAAAAAAAACAAAATTGTTATCTAAGACCAAAAAAAAAACATCACTTCCATTTATCGATTCATAACAAATAATAAATCTCACTTAACATACTATCATTCATTTTTTGGTTAATTCTTCGAACTCAGTGCGTACATCAAGGGGCACGCAATGATAGAGCCACACTTTGTTTGTTGTTTGAGAAGATTTTTTTTATACCCAGAAATCTTAGCCACACGTGTCAATTTGTGACAGCGGGGCCCACTAAATTTGGGGGCCACTTGCAATCAATTTGACATCACACCAACGAGGCTTCACCTCCAACAGCCTTATACCTTCGGGAATATCAACGAGCCTCGCTTGAATCGAACTTGAGATCTGCAACTCTCAATTCTTCACTATCGCAGCAGTTTTACCATTAAAATATCTGGGAAGGTTTAAAGCAATAGAAAAGACAACAGAGCCATTCATATTAGGGGTGGCTATTTGGACCGGGACCGGATTAAAAACCGGAAACCGGACCGTATAACCCGGACCGAGACCGGATAGTAAACAATCCAATCCAATCTTTGGGCTTAGATTTGAGGTAAAAAACCGGATAAAGACCGGATAAGAGAGCTCAACACCCAAAACTTAAGGGTAATTTGCATAAACGGTCACAAACCTTTGCACTTAGTACAAAACTTAACCAACTCCTCACCCTTTAAGGCCTTAGGCCACTCAAATCCCACAATCTCAATGTAAAATCAAGACCAAATTGGGACCGGACCGGATCAAAACCGGACCGGATCAAGACCGGACTGTATCCAATCCAATCTTCGGTCCTTATATTTTCAAAAAGACCGGACTGGACCGGATCAATTTGGGCCAATTTAACCGGACCGGACCGTATAGCCACCCCTAATTCAAATGCCTAAAAATAGTGGGCTTATCTAGTCCTTTGCACATTGAGGCCAGGATGGTAGCGATTGAGGCGTTTTGGGCTTGATCAACAAGTAGTGGGCTTATCTAGTCCTTTGCACATTAAGGGGAGAGTGGTGTGCGGGATGCTAATGGAATGAAGAAATAGGCCCAGACTTCCTTTGAAAAACAGGGAAACAAGGCCAGGCCGATGACACCACTAAAAGAGACCAGAACTTAGGCCATGGGCCGTCCTACGTGAATTCAGTTGCTATTGGGGTTGGGGGAAGACCGGAGAGAGAATTGGGGTCTGGGGATAATTGAGGAAGAAGGGGTCGATATATGACGACTCCGAGAGAAAGAAACTAGTGGTTTTGATAATTTTATTGATTAATCCTGAATAATGTGCCAAATGAATATAAATAAAAAATAACACTGATAAGCTCGGGTTGATTAATTCTGAATAATGTGCCAAATGAATATAAATTCAAAATAACATTGATAAGCTATGGGGATTAGCAACTATTAGAGGTGGCAAATTCTCAATCCAATCCAATCCATCTACTTAAATATCCAACTAATTCAATTCATTTGATTCAAATTCTATTGGATTGGTGGATTCATTAATTGATCCATGGATCCAAATGAAAAATTATAATTTAGTACCTATAATTTTTATATTTTTATAATTTGGCATCTAAAATTTATTTTTTAATACTTCCTCGATATACAGGTACCTTTGGCTCGACCTTCAACCCTGAATTCTTTAAAATCACCGTAGGTTCTCCACACCCTCTTCTTCATTAGAGAGAGTTTAGTCTATACCTCTTCATTCGAGAGTTTAGTCTATACCGGCATCGTCCTCGACCGATTACTAATTAACTTAACTCTATATCGGAATCGTCTCTTGCATTCCGAGCAATCTCAAGGCCAGATCCTCCAATGTGTTTATTTGTAGCGGAGATTCTCAATATCGTGAAATGAAGCAGATTTTTAAAGCTCAATCAACCATATGTCCATTCTCTTTCTACTTTCCCGAAGTACCCCTCCACCCTCTTTTATCTTAGTACTAGTAAGGAAACCCGCGCTCCGCGGCGGGGAGTTCGTATTGAAAAATGTGGAGTTTGCTTTAGAAAGTGAAATATTTGTGTCCCATGAGTAGATTGAGTAGAGAACATCCGATTTAATAAAAAACATATGATTTGTACATATAGAAACTTTGCATTGGAATTAAACATTAGGTACATAATATTATCTTGTATTGCAAATTGGGTGTTGCCATACTAACCCAGCAATACATATTGGTTGCTGTCAAATTGATTAATTGTTATTTTGCATTGAATGTGATGTAAAAGAGTGTCATTTGGTGGATTATATGCTATTTTCCCCTTAAAATTGCAGTATAAAAGTAGTGCTAATCAAGGAGGTAGAAGAGTTGAAAAGCTGGATTATGTGTTATGCAAGCACCCACAAGAGTAGAGGTAATATGGTAGATAGGCGACGACAAGAGTCTTGCATGTTAAGTTTTGTTTCCGGACTGATGAAGTAGAAGTTTTTTGTTCGGCAACATCTTAAGACACTATTTCTTTCATAGATAGGGTATTTTTTCCTGGACACCGTTAATCTATGATGGTAAAAATCCATTGGCGTGGATGATGATGCTGCTGGGTGGGTAATACTTGTCTGCGTTGCAGATTGTTTGGGCTATTGTTCAGCCTAGCTGGGGCCGACTACAGAAAGGATAGTAAACTCCAGGGGGGTCTGAGCCAAATATCCAGGTTTAGGGAGTTGAACGTCAAATGAAAACCAACGTCCATTAATGGCGACAATTTCTGGAGGGAAATGTCCATGCTTTTTAGGCCACCGTAATGATAATTCGTCAGCAGTAATTCCAAGCAAACATTCAGCGGTTTTCCCAAGCATAATGAAGCATGTTGAACCAGTAGTGTCTCCCACCGCTAAATGGATTTTGTAGCTGCAAAAAATGTGTCATAAATTCAGGGCTAACTGATTTTGGAACTCGTAATGGGGAAAAACTGTTTGATGCTAAACTTACCATTTGTGGGTTTCCTCAAGTATCAATTGGCCATGCTCATCACACCAAAAATCAGCAGTACCAGGAAACTCCCTAGTTGTCTTAGAACAAAATGCACATCCTAAGTAAAACCATGGTCGTGAAGACTCAGCGGAGAGGATTTGTGCTAAGCAATGGTATTGTGTAGCCTGTTGGTAAATCAAACAGGCAAGCAAAGTCAGTTAGGTAGGCAAACACTTTGTTGGTTTAGGAAACAAGAATTTCAGAAACGGCAGAAGTAAGTTGCAAAGCAGGGTGATTGACCAAGGTGGGAGACATAATGGTTCAATTAAAAAGCAGAACTGCTTTTCAAATGGGCACTAAAAGTAGAATACTAACAAACTGATCGACTATATTCAAAATTGAATATTAGGTTTTAGCTTGATATGGATTTGTTAAGCTCAGTTTGGCATGTAGAGAATTATGTAAAAAAACGTACATCTACCATTGATGGGTTGCAAAGGTGGACCAGTTCCATAATTGTCTTGGTACTATCA